TCTTTAATTGGGGAATTGATTTGATGCGCAATCAAAATTAAAGTAATGATAAAAAAAAGTATTGGGAAAAGAATTTATAATTTTTGGACCCTGCGCGAGTTCCGATAAAAGGTCTTGAAAAAAAGGGAAAAACGATTATGGACCCACAGGAAGTTTCCAAAAATCGCAGGGAAAAGAAATGACAGGTTCAGGACCCTCGGCGAGTTTCCACGGAACCGTAATTCCTCTGTGGTAAAGGAAAAATGAAAGGAATAAAGGAAAAACACAACCTCGGACCCTCCGGGAGTTTCCGAAGTTTGTGTTACTTGGAGAAAGGAAATTTAAGAATTTTAGACCCTCAGAAAGTTTCTAAAAATTCTTAAAGGAAAGGAGAAAAAGAAAGGACACTCTAATACACTAAATTTTCCTGCTATTACGCGTATTATCCAATATTACAGGGTATTACAGAACTAATACAGGGTATTATTGATTATTACAGAATATTACCTCAATATTATGTGGTATTACACTGACGAAATAATGCTCTATTACACTCTATTACGTGACTATTACATGACTATTACGTGACTATTACGTGAGGAGCGTACACGCCAATACACAAGTAAATACCCCCTCGACTAAAACTATTTATTTGAATCAAACAAATGTTTTCTCTTAAAATAAACAAATTTTTTAGTTATATACAATAAAAAGTTTTGGTTGTGTAATGACCATTTGGTTAATACAAATAAACGTATTGGAAGAAATTATTTGGTCAAATCAAACAAACGTTTGGTTGTCTGTATAGCAATGCATTTATTTGGTTGATTCAACCAAAATTTGGTTATTTCGAACAAATAGCCAGGCCGTTTCTTTGATATTTCAATTTAACTATTTAAATATATTAGATTATTATTCTAATGTTTATAGCTATAATATAAGGGCACTAGCCTGTATAAAAAAGAATACTTTTTTAAATAAACAATTACAACTAATTTTAAACTTGAATTGGAATTGAAATGTAATTGTATTAAACTTAAATTTTAATTGAATTTCAGCTAAATTACCATTGAATCAACCTTGAAATACGATTGAATTACAAGTAAATTTAATTTTGAATTGAAATTGAATTATACTTGAGTTATAATTGAAATACAATTGAATTACGATTGAAAAGCAATTGAATTTCAAATAAATTACAATTTAATCAACCCTGAATCACAATTAAATTTCAATTGCATTAAATTTGTATTAAAATTGAAGTACAATTAAATTTGAATTACAGGTAAACTATATATAAATCACAATTAAATAAAATATTAGGGAAATGTAATCATGGTTGGACCTTAGACAAGTTAGGACGCTGGTTAGAACAAGTCGAAAATAATATAGGGTAAGTCCGGGGCAAATGGCCATATGGGAGAGATGGCCAGTTGAAATATTTTACTGAATTTCATAATAAATGTTCAGAATGCGACCTGAATTATAAGCATTGGCCATCTCTCCCGGACATTCCGGGAGAGATGGCCAAATGCACTTTTTAGAAAATGTAAAAAATGCCGTCAGAAAATGGAAAAAAATAAAAGTCGGAATTTTTAATTTTAAAACATACTACCGTATAGAGCATAAAAATGCCCAACTTTTTTGTCTTTGAAATTTTTTTTTGGGACTTTTATTTTTAATAATAATGGACAAAAACTGAATTTTTCTTATTCTTCAATTTCATTGAATTTCAAAACATAAATCGACTTTTCTCAAACAAATCTTAATGAAATTAATCAAAAATTGATATACTTACTTATCAGGGTCTACTGAAGACGATGAAATGATTGAAACATTAAAAAATGTTTATTGCAAAATTATTTGTTAATGTAAATAAAGACCTGTCGGTAAATACCCATAGGTATTTATTATTACTTATTCTTCAATGAAATTGAAGAATAAGAAAAATTCAGTTTTTGTCCATTATTATTAAAAATAAAAGTCCTACAAAAAAATTTCAAAGACAAAAAAGTTGGGCATTTTTATGCTCTATACGGTAGTATGTTTTAAAATTAAAAATTCCGACTTTTATTTTTTTCCATTTTCTGACGGCTTGACTAGCTTGAATTTTTCAGTTCAAGCGCAGATCGAGTTATTGGACGCGGGAGCTTAATTTGTAAACAATGAGTAACGTTAAAAATATTAAAGTCCCACCTTTACCTATAAGGTCCAACCTTTGACTACATTATTTTTTTAAATGTTTATTTATATTTTAAAAAAATGTTATGCCAACCAATTTGCAATGTTCGAAAAAAGTGTTCCTCTTTTGTAGATCTTTCCAACAATATAACTCAATTGCCTAAATTTATTTTCTAAAAAAGTTATAAATAAAGAATTCGAAAGGTGTTCCAATCCTGTCTATGTTCTCCTACAAATTTACACCTAGAGAAATGTTTTATTTGAATTAAATAAAATTAGTTTCAATTTAAAATAAAAAATCTATACTTACTACAAATAGAGCAAATAAAATCATTTTAGTTAAATAGAATTTTATTAAAAACAAATTTATTTAAAATAAATAAATAATTTTGTTGATTCTAAGAAAAATATTAAAACACAATGTTCTTTTGCTAAATGTTATTTTAATTATAACTGTAAATGCTCTATTCATGAATATAATCTCGCAAATGACGAAACAGAGGAAAAAATGTCTAGTTTGGACCAAATGTAGAAATAATTCTATTAGTAATTAATACAAGTTAAATTCCCTTCCTCCCTCTTTGGCTCTCTCTCAAGTTGAGAATGAGTTTTACATTAATTTGTGGTAAACGCTTGCTTTCAATCGGCATGAATCAAGGCTTCGCAATTAACTTCCTCTTGAAAGAGCTATGCTCCAAATCCATGCCCAAACGAGAATATAGGCGCGAAAACCGAGAGAGTTGGAGGACGAATTGTGACTCACTGCTAGCGTTCACAGAAAATGCATTTGCCGATAACACTCCGGAGAGAATGAGTAATTTCGTGGTAGTAAATAGGCCACTGACATTAATTCCAGAGGGGAAATAATAAGAGAGCATTATCATCTGCACAAGGCTTGGCTTAAAGAAAAAAGCGGGGTATATAGAAAAAAAGGAAAAATCTTGCCAGGTTTGTGTTAAAAAAAATGAAACCTCCCTCTCTTGCAATTACTTAACCCTTCATTATTCTCGCGAAAGAATGCACATTTTTATTCTTTATTTCATTTTTCTGAAAAATTACTCTACCATCTTCTTAGGAATTGTTTATACAATACAAATAGAAGAATTTTTTGTTTGCTTCCAAAACTATATAAACCTTAAAAATATCAGGTTTTCACATGTTTTTAAATTCAATTTTCTTTACAATTTTAATTTGAAAATACTTTTATAGTATTTTTTAAATTTAATTCCCAAAATTTTATTACAAAGTTCGTTAGAAAATTTAAAAAAATTTAAATATGATTATTATAGTCAGGTAGCAAATGTTACGCGCAAAACATGGTATTCAATTTATTATTATTATTATTATTATTATTATTATTATTATTATTATTATTATTATTATTATTATTATTATTATTATTATTATTATTATTATTATTATTATTATTATGCAAATTCCAAAAAATTTTAATTTCGCTTTATCAACTTTAATTTTTCATAAATTTCAAATTCAAAATTTTAAAAAATCCTCTTATTTACTAATTGAATAGTTAACTATTATTATTATTTAATATTTTTAAAAAATTTTAATAAAATTCTTGGAAGTTAATCGAATTATTTTCAAAAATTTTATTAAAATTCTTTGCAGTAATTCAATTTTTCTCAAAAATTTTATTGAAATTCTTTGCACTAATTCAATTTTTTGGATACAATTTAAAAAAGATTTTCAGAAGAATTTAATTATTTATAAAAAATGTAATTAAATTCTTTGCAAGAATTAAATTATTTCAAAGTTAAAATTATAAAAGGTAGAAGAAATTTTAACATTTTTTTTAACAAAACTATTATCTTTTAAAATTAAACAAATTTCACATTTTAAGGGAAAAATATAAAAACTAAAATAATTTATACATTTTTCCGTCAAGAATCGTAGCACAAAACTTACTCTGTAAATCTAAAATATTTTAATAATAAATAAATAATTAATAATCAACTATTATTAATTAAATCTTAATTGTTATTATTAACTTTTATTATCCATTAATTAATTTCAATTTTATACAATTTATTTCAAAGAAATTAATTATTCAATTTTTAACATTATAATAAAACTTCAGCCACCAAAAAGTTATAAAAATCTGACCAATATATGCAAATTGAATTGGAGTCAAAATAAATTTTATGTTTGGTATTTGTAAAATTAAAATTTACGCAGAAAAAAAAATTCTGCTCGGAGAAAAATAAAATTTTAGCTTTGAAAACAAATAAAATAATTGTACCTAGAAAAATATTATAGAGAAGTATATTAAACTAAATTTTATTAAATACCTGATTTGAATATTTTTCAATTTTTAAGTACCGCTAATAATAAAATTAATTGAAAATTGTTCTAATTATTTAAAAAACAAATAAATTATGAATTATTCATAATTAATATTAATTGATAATAAAGGACTATAATTAACTAATCATATATAATTAAATAGTAAATAAACCTAATTTAATTATTAGGTTAGAATAATAGAAAAAAATATATTATTAATTAATTAACTTTTTAATTAATTTTAAATTTATTTAATGTATTTTTCACATTGAAAAATAATTATTATCAAATTTATAATAAAATTTATACTCAGTGAAAGAAAAGAGAGAAAAAAAATTTTCCAAGAAGAAAAATAAAATTTTAGCTTAAAAGAATTGGTCTGAAAAGGATGTTGAGTACCAAATAAAAAATATAGATAAGTAAATGAACACAGGTAAACTGTGCTGATTCATGAAATGAGATTTTTTTTCTGTGATAAAATTTTTGGAGAAAAACCAATACCCCATATTGTGTGTGGGTTAATAAAATTATCTCACCTTGTTTCCACAGCCATGATGAAAATAGGTCACAAATCCTGCGAATCACAGGAATGGAATTCTTTTTTTCCCTTTCCGTTTCCAAATGGTATCCTAAACACGATTTTAGATGTTAATTATGATAAAGGAAAAAAAAGTTCGAATTTTGATGTTTTTCGTATTTGTGACTTTTTGACATTTGTCCACGTTATCGTTTAGAAAAAAGAAACAGAAGCAAAAGACGATCAAAGAAGAGAGAGACACAAAGTATTTTCTTCTTTTAGGATGAATTCAGCTGAGTAAGGGACAAATTTTTTTTTCGTTTTTTGTTATCTCATGAGAGGGGGGGGTCTCTTTTTTGTAATTTTCACCCAATTTTTACGTCTTATCGCAGAGGCTGAGTTCGCAGAACATTTTTGCTCTCTAAATTGCATTTGAAAGTAATTTTTATTAATTTTCTTTTATAAATTTAATTTTCAATTAGATTTTTATAATTGTTTAAAAATTTTTAAAACTAAAATTTAAATTAAAATTTTAAAAACTTAATTTTTAAAAACTAAATTTTTTTTAATACTGTTGAATTTTTATTTCTTTTGTTGTAAAATTTAATTTTTATTTACTTTCATAACCTTAAAAAAAAAAGAAGTTACACACAGAGAAATATTTTACTCAAATTTTACTTGAATCAAATTTAAAAATTTTGTTTATTTAAATAAAAATATATTTTTCTTAGAATTTATTAATCAAGTCTTTATTAAATCAAAAGTATATCTTCTACAAATAAAACATTTAATTGATTCAAATAAGAATATTATTCAGAAGAAATAAAAAATTTATTTGGAACAAATAAGCAATATATTTAGTAAAAATAAAAAATTAAAGGGCAAAAATTAATTATAAAGGCTGCTAAAGAAACAGAAGCCTACTAGTTAATTTATTTAAAATAAAAAACTTACTAAGATGTACTAATTAAGAACATTTCAAAATAAAAAAAAATATTATACAATTTATTATAAAGGTAGGGAAAAAATTAATTAATTTTAGAAATAAAAAATACTCTATTTTCATGAATCAAATCTAAAAACGAGTCCAAAAATATAGTGATTTTCAAAAACATTCAGAACGACTATCCACCCTAAATAAAGTAATTTTCATTTGATGCGGATTCCTCTAAACTGAGTGCATATTTTCCTCTTACATGGGTAGTTCTACCAAAGGGTAAATTTATAATGTCCAAGGTTGTTTTTTACATTGATTTTGAAAAAAATAAAATTATTTTTAATGGGAACTGTAGTGCTTAATGATTTCTATTATGCCACAAAATGTTACTCGGTTTGAAAAAATATTTTTTGCAAAAAATAAGCATTCAAGTGCTAAATTCTCAGTTTCCTGGCATCATAAAAAACGTTAAAATTATTATGAATTTCCATTCCGATTAATTCACCATTTTTCAGAGTGCTTAGTAAAGGTTAACTAAATATATCACTTGCATTTTACTTAAATTGCAGTTCAATTAACTAAAATTTTGTACTTTGTGATCGAAATGGGCATTTGGTCAGACAAATTCTCAGTTTCCTGGCACGCACTTTTAAAAATAGTATATTAAGCAACAAGGGCATAAAGGCAGCCATTTGTTTACGGTGATTTTTGTGACACGAGTGGAGGTCGAGGGCGCCCCGAGACCGGAACGAGTGTCACAAAAATCAGCGTAAACAAATTGGCTGCCTTTATTCCCGTGTTACTTACGATACTTTTTATTCCTAATGCACAAAAGTGGCGATTTCAGATAGCAGACGACAGGGAGTAAAAGTCATTCACTTGTTCGACTTATATGAAAATGGCGGCCGTTTTCTCCCTTGGGCAAAAATAACGCATGGGATCAGCGGTTATGTTTGCACATGGGAGAAAATGGACGCCATTTTCATATGGTCGAACAAATGAGTGACTTTACTCCCTGTCGTCAGCTATCTAAAAGCGCTATTTTTGTGCATGTGGGATAAAAAAATAATTTATGTTTTTATACTTTTGTTGTTCTAGGTGTCGTAGACTATCCACTTTTAGATAACTTTGATAATACTTTTAACTTGAATTTAACCTACTTTTTAAAACCTGAACGTAAAAAAATGTTGTGCCAAAATTTTCTTCATTTTCTTCCTTCGTTTGTAGAACTACCCATATATGGTATCAAAAATAATAGTGTGTTTTTTTTCTTATAGCGAGAGAAAAATAATTTCACACATGAAAAAAGTGAAATTTTCAAATATTTAAAATTAGTGTTTAAATACGTGACCAATCATAGGGGAGACTATAGGGTAAACTCTCTCACTAGCGATTTGACGCTATGAACTCAACTTAAGATGGAGATATTGGTACTGTGAATAGTACTTAACATTCAACTTATATTAACGAACTTTCGTTTAGTTTCATGAATTCAACATAGAATCAGAGGCAATCAAATGTTTTTAAAGGTGTCAGAAAATAGTATATTACATTATAAGGGCAGAAAGTTCGAAATTCCTGCACTGCGCGAAATGATGCCCGAGGCGAAGCCGAGGGCATTATCGCGTAGTTTAGGGCTTTCGAATTTCTGCCCGTGTAATATATACTATTTTTCTTTATATACGGTCGAGTACGCTGTGTAATTTATTTTTTAAGAAAATTGCAATCGAGTTTCATTTGACAGCCGGCCATCTTTATTTACTTTTGCTCCTCGCTTCAACGCCTCTAGCGGACACTCGTGAAGCTCTGGTTTTTTCTCTGTCTCTCTCTTGCAAACAATATTCGCCTGCCCCGACATTTGATGCACGAGCGAAGCGAGTGCTTCTGGTCGGGGGCAGGCACGAAAAAAAATGTGAAAGATAAATTACAGTCAGGTCCCCATACTGTTAGATTCCAAAGTGTTATGTCCTCAGTAGTGTTATGTTTTTGCATAACCTCCAAATTCAGAAGTGTTAGGTGACGTCACGTTACGTCACCAATTTTCAGGGCCGTATTCTTAAGCCCAAAGAAAAGGGGTCATATACTTCTAGGCCAAACTTGAGGTGTATATATTTACGTTCCTGAAAGGTGCGCAGTAGACATACTTTGAGCACATAACAGAGCTGAGTCTGGAGGAGTGGGAAATTTCTGGAAATGTAACAGTATGGGGACCCGACTGTAATATTATATTTTCAAAAGAATTTTTCTGGTGGTACAAAATTAATTCTATGTTTCTAAAATTCTAAACATTCTAATGAAAACACTTTCATTATTTCTTCAAATTATTACAATTTTATAATAACATTTTGGCACGTATTAAAAAATAAATTAAAAAATTTTTAATTATTTTATTTTTGTTTTTAATGTTTATTAAAATAAGTTTTGAAAATAATTATATCAGCAAAAGATTTCGTTCATTTCAATATTCAGAGCTTGTGGATAATAAATTTGTAAAGTATAAAAAGTTTTCTTGATAATTTTTTTTCTCATTTTATATTGCGATAACAATTACTCGTTAAATTGTCATTGAACTCGAAATTTTCTTATTTACCGACAGTGGTGTTTTTACCGACAGAGAATTCTTTTACTCCCGCTGTAATAGAGGTTGGGTATGAAAATCAACCAATGCACAAATGTTTGTCTTTCTGCTGCGAAATCGCAGCGGGAAATACGTACTTTCGACCGAGGTATGAAGAAAAAACGTGTTTTTTAGATTTTTAAGTTTTTCGATCATTATTTTTGAGTCTTAATTTTTTTGGCAAATTTTTTTTGTTGCTATTGGATGTCCTTCTTTGAAGTACATATTTAGTTTTGTCTTATTTCAATAAGATTTAATTAAATTTATTCTGAAATGTGAGGAATACACTCGGTGTAAAGCCGCTCACTTATAGTTTTAAATTTAAAATTTAGAATAATATAATTTCACGTAGGGAAGTGTGCCGGTTGTGAGCACCCTTTTGTTTTTGCCTTATAACATTTGTCCATGTGCATATTATACAAATATATGTGTACGAATTTAAAGCTAGAGGTCTAAGGTGACTGTCAGTGAAGGAATTAAATTGATTTCTTTAAATAAAAAATTTTTATTAGAAATTTAGTGAAATAGAAATCTTTTGACAAAAAAATTTTTGTACCCGGTTGTGCACTGCAAAAACTGGTATCTCACTCGTGTCTTAAAATGAGTTGCTTTAAGTGTTTAAACCATTGAGATACAAAATCTGTTTTATATTGAGACATTTAATTTCATCTCGTGTCTCATTTTAAGACATTAAAGGTAACTCAATGCGTATAAGACACGTAAAACGTCTTCTTAGTGTGAGACGGATACTCGAAACACATTTCGTGTCTCAAAATGCATTGCTAAATGTGTAAGACACTTTGAAACGTCTTAAAATGAGACACATATCTGTTTCAAATATGTGGACTAAGACATCTTATGTGTTTCAAATATGGGACAAAACGTCTCAAAATCAGACACTTGTTTTTGCAGTGTGGGCACCCTTGAAAAATCCGCTAAAAATAGAAAAATATTAAAAGAAACCAACACAAATAAAGAAGAAATGAAAGTTTCTTTATTTTAAGAGACTTCGCCGGCATAAAGAACAAAAATGATGACACGTTTTCACACTATGCTCATCGCTAACAAAAGCATAATGCTAGCATGTGAAAAAAGCTGGCCCGCATATCATAACGCACTTCTAATACACTGAACGACTATATTCATCGCATTTAATGGAGTTTTCGGCTGTCACTTTCCTTGGCAGAAAGTTTAGATAGATGAGACAGTCTTAGTCCACATCATTGTCAGATGGTAGAGCTACCTTAACATAAAGGTGCCCACAACCGGGAATGACAGTCATTTTTTAAAAAGACCAACATTAGAGATGTGCAAAAAGCTCGAAAAGTCGAGCCGAGCCGAAATTTTTTCGGGCCGAGCCGAGCCGAGCCCGAGCCGGCTCGATGTATCGAGTACTCGAAATTTTCGAGTACTCGAGTGACTTCGAGTACTCGAAAAATTCGAGTACTCGGGTAAATTCGAGTACTCGATTAAATTCGAGTACTCGAATTTTTCGAGTACTCGAATGGATTCGAGCTTTTGACTTACTAAAAAAACTATTAATAAGTAAAAAATTTCGAATTTTTTTGAATTACTGAATCAATATTTCTATTTGCTAAATATAATAAATGCGAAAATTCTATGAATTTTCTCTAGAACTCGAATTTACTCAGAGCTCGAAAAAATTCGAGTACTCGAATTCCCTCGAGTGCTCGAAAAATTCGAGTACTCGAATTAACTCGAGTACTCGAAACTATTCGAGCTTTTTACACAGCTCGGCTCGGCTCGAACTCGGCTCGAGCTCGAACTGATTAGGCTCGGCTCGGCTCGGCCCGAAAAATGAAAAGCTCGAAAAAGCTCGCTCGAGCCTCGAGCCTCGAGCTTTTTGCACAACTCTAACCAACATATTTTGTGATGCAGGATTTTGGCAAAACACGAAGGTAAATCACAAAATATAATGACAACACTGCAAAAAAAAAAATTAAACCCTTTTTTCTGAACGAATCTACACCCATATGTTGCTCTTCGAAAACAATACAAAATTACTTTTTTATTTATTTAATGAAAATTTTCTTTATTATGCTCACAGTTATTACACAAATGCATATATTTGTTTCGTTATCAATACGAAAAGTCCGTATACGAAAAGTCAACGAACACGACTTGCAATACTCAGATCAGTAAAGTCTGCTTGCCGTAGAAGTTTACGTAGGGGTGCCCACAACCGGAGCGTGCCCACAACTAGCGCACTTCCCCTATTATATTTTAACAATAAAAAAATTTATGACTTGTTAAAACAAAACTTGTAACTAAATTTTACTTTCTCTTAATAAAATATAACATTATTTAAATCCATAGTTGTAATTCATGAAACCTATATTTATTATTTATTAAATCAATTTGTTGTTAATAGAACTCATAGTTTATAAATAATAAATCATACTTAAGACGGGAATAAGACGAATTTTAATATTTAAAAAATAAAACTGTTCCGTCTTGAAAATATAAATTGATCAGATTTACCCTAGAAAATTGTGATTTCGAAATTTTGTATATGTGTATTAAAAAGTTTCTCTAAGTAAAACTAAAAAAGATAAATTAAAAAATCTTTTTTAATTTTTTTTGTAGAAATCATAAGCATTCAAATGATATAAATTAACTTGGATCTAGAGAATAATTTTCTAGATTTTTACCGATCTGAAAAAAAGTGAGCGGGTTTACCTCAGTCTCCCCTACATTTAAAAAAAGTAACAAGATAATTAAAATACTAAAAACAAACGTAATGTTAAAAATAAACATGTACTCTAACATTCCTTATATATTTTATTGAGAATATAAATTTATATTTTATAAATAAAAATAAGTGATGAATAAGAAAAAGTACATTTGTAGTAAATAATTCCTCTAACTACACTTTCATGCGAGTCAAGGATAAAGTTTTAAATATAACACATTTTTCACATTTAAAAAACAACGTCTCACATTCTTATACACATTTTAAACTTCTACTATTGTTAGTTTCAGTTCAATTACACTTCTAAAAATGTTTCTACAATTAAAATTTCACTAATGAGAAGATCAAAAAGCATTTAATTTCATTACTAAAAATACTTCGACAATTAAAATTTTATATAACATTATTTATGAAATGTAAATATAGAAAAGTTGAAACTTCATCGGACTCTTCACCTAAATACGGACTTTTAATAATTCTGTCGTTATTTAAATTTATTAAAAAACAGTTTGACATATTTGCCTTTCTAATTAATCAATTAAATTTGGTGAAAACAAAATTTGCAAATTTAGCGAAAAAATCTTAAAATTCACGTAACTCCGTTAATTTGAATTAAATTTTTTCAAAAGATGACCGTTTTACGCAGAATTAAAAAAATATTTAAATTCTAATATTATTCTAAAAACCTCGTTGAAGTTAAAAAAAATAAAAAAAATCGCAAATATTTTCAACTGCGGTTTTGTCAATTTTTATTTTGACAAAACGAGCAATACACGATTAAAAAGATGTGCTTTTCCCCTTTCAACCAAAAAAACAATTTTGAAAATCGGTTGAAAATTAAGGAAGTTATGAGTATAATTCTTTACATGAATACACAAAAAACGGGTTTCGCCCCTAAAATGAAATTTTTGGGGTGTTTAAGTGATTTAATACATACTACTTTTTAAAAGAAAAAGTGTTATTGAATAATAATTTTCAGGAATTACTGAATAATCATTTATTTAAATAATCATTATAATCTTTATAATCATTACGTTTATGCGTTATAAAATTTTAGTAAGTTCAGTTTTATTTTGTTTATGGTTGTAAGATTTGATATAGTTTATTATCATAAGAAAATGAGGTTATGTTACTTAAATTTTTAAATTTTAACAGATGTTTTTCACCTGAAGAGGATATCAACGTTGATATCGAAACGTGGTGAGTGACGAATTATTTAAATAAATATGATTATGCAGTAATTCCTGAAAATTATTATTCAATATATATAAGCCATATTGTGAAAAACCGCACTTCATGAAATGCCTAGACGTTTTATGAAGTGCAGCCACATTGTGAAAAAAATATTTACTTCACAACGTGTCCAACATTTTTGGACATTTCATGAAGTGCTACAGCCAATTATGCATTTTGTGAAACTAAATAAAATTACACAATACGTCAAAATATAAAATGCATTTCATGAAATGCCCAAGTCGTTGAATGCTGATAATGAATATGACAATTGTAAACCAAAAATTCAATAAACAAACTTATATTTTACTTATTTTTGCATGGCAGACTATTATGACATTTGCTATTACATAAAATATTATTTTTTTACAGTTGCATATTTTTGTCGTACATTGACGACCGGACACTTTAAAATTGCACTTTAAATGACCTTGCCCTCCCGTATTTTTTTACACACTCTCGGACTGTTATATTTTAATTATAGTCAACATCTTCTTTTTTAATAAAGTTCAAACCGGCTTTCTTCATTTGTTCACTCCCGAACCATCCCTTTATTATCCCAAACGTAAATCCATCAATTTATACAGGCTTACAAAATATAAAATAATAACATAAATAATATATAATATTTTATATGAAAACTATTTGCAACATCAATAAATAAATTAATGATAAATTTTATTTTAATTTGAATTTTGTTCACTGTTATATTTCTAACAATGTGTTCATTGGAAATGAAAACAAAAATTATTTATGCACGTAACAATAACTTATTCACAAGTCAGTGACAATAATATTTACAACCATAGTACCTTAATTTTAAATTTTATTTAAATTTTTTTAATATAAAAATTTTTTAATTTATTTCAATTTTCTTAATTATAAAAAATTAAATTTCTTTTATTTATATTTAAATCATGGTTTTACAGATTACTTACAATTATTCATTATCGGCATTCAACTACTTGGGCATTTTATGAAATGCATTTTATATTTGGACGTATTGTGTAATTTTATTTAGTTTCACAAAATGCATAATTGGCTGTAGCACTTCATGAAATGTCCAAAAATGTTGGACACATTTGTGAAGTAAATATTTTTTTCACAATGTGGCTGCACTTCATGAAACGTCTAGGCATTTCATGAAGTGCGGTTTTTCACAATGTGGCTACGACATATATATATCACTGGATGTACGAATGTTTAAATTTAAAAAGTGTTATTTTGCTGTCACACAGTGTAATAACATATTATGTATTTATCTTTCATAAATTATTTTTTTCCTTTTTCAACTCTTCGAGACCATAAATGCGATGACTTAAACTTTATTTTAATACAATTTCCACTTTTTCTAATATTTTTTATTGTTATATATTGGTAGACAAAAGTTTATTCAATAATAAATCAAACAAAATTTTAATTCTTTTTAGCAAAATTAGTTTAATTAAATTACATTGAGTTTAAATTAACTGTGATATAATTTTGATAAGAAGAGTCCAAAAATGATAATTTCCATCATGTATTCGTTTACTTAACTTTAAAATCACATCTAACAACAATAATTATTAAATTGCTTACACTTACAGTTAATTAATGAGTCCAATGATAAAAATATTCAACTAAACACGCAAGTGAAACAATAGTTGCAATATTTTAAAACACTATTTATCGATAAACTGTAGGATTACTGTAAATTTTAGTGATTTAAAAAGGACGTCAACAACATGCCGGCAAAAATAAGAGGAGAACAAATATACACACAAGAAAATAGGTTCAGTGCGCAGGCTTGCCAACAACCAGACTAAGATTGAAGTAAAGCGTGACATGAAAGGATGGGTGCTAACATACACCGGCTGCTTCTAATGCGCGTGCGCATTAAACAGAAATCACTGGAATGGGAGACAGAGAAGCTGAATAGCCCTCCCCCTCCTTACTGCATTATCAGCTGTATACATTGCACTGATGCCATGTTGCCAAATTCATTAAATGGAAAAAGTTGATAAAAAAGGGAAAAAAAGTACTAGTTACTAAATTTTTTTTTATTTATATTTAATGGTCTTAATAAAGTAAATTCGTAGATGCGTATGTATATTCACAAAATTTAATCTGTAATTGATTATAATAATAAGGAACGTACAGAATACCCAATAGGAAATTAACCATTCCCAAGTGCGAAATGCCAAGACTGCAAAAACGGCCCATGATTGGTCCAGTAATGTCGGCCGCGAATTGGCAGTAGTTACTGGGCCATTACTGGTTTTCAAAACGTCCCATTGCTGGGCCAATGATGGCGCCGATGGTCAGATTTTCAAATTTTTTAAGACTCGGACAGCTCTCGGCCCAATAATGGCACATTTACGGCAAAGTTGATCAATCTTTAATGGCAAAAGACAATTGCCAGTGATGTGACGAAGATCGGCCCAGTAATAGCTCATTATTGGCACTTTAATGGCAAAAAATTTGTATCTTTCATGGCAAATTATAATTGCCAGTATTGGGGCGTAGCTTGGCTCAATAATGGTACAATATTGGCAAAGTTGATCAATCTTTAATGGCAAAAGACAATTGCCAGTGATGTGACGAAGATCGGCCCATTAATGGCACTCTAATGGCAAACATTTTGTATCTTTGATGGCAAATTATAATTGCCAGTATTGGGGCGTAGCTTGGCCCAATAACGGCACGTTATTGTCAAAGTTGATCAATCTATAATGGCAAAATTCAATTGCCGCAGTGATGTGACGAATATCGGCCCATTAAAGGTACATTAATTTCTAACATTTTGTATCTATGATGGCAAATTATAATTGCTAATATTGGGACGTAGCTCGACCCAAGAATGGCACAGTATCGGCCAGTGCAGTGTAATAGAACCCTTTTGCTTCCTCGACTTCACGTCAGAGTAGCAGAGTGTTAGGCTGTGGTGCGTCAGGTTCAGGTATCGATCCCCGCGAGCGGTAAGAACTTCTCAAATGTTTGTAAGTTTGCGTTTAATTTAGGGAAACAAGCCGTATAAATATTAAAAACTAATTAGTTAATTAAATAAAAAATGTATTTAGTTTTTTAATTTTGTCAACACTGGGGGAGTAATGGCAGCCAATATTGGGCCATTAATGTCTGCCGAGATCTGGCTGCCGACGTCCAACCGTGGTTAACACCACAAGAGTCGGCGCAAAGTCGGACCAATATTGTCTGCCAAGTCTCGATGCCAGCTTTGCCAATACTGGGCCAGTGGTTGGTTTATTAATAGACCTATATTTGGAGCCAGCAGTACCAATAATGGTGCAATAATAGCAACTAACATTGGGCTACTATTGTTAGAGTCTTGGGATGATCACGACTTTGCCAAGCATTGGCAGCCAATGTTGGATCACTATTGGCTGTCAAGGCAAACGCAGGACATTCTAAGCCATGGTTATTTATTGGCAACAAATATTGGATCAATATAAATGACCAATTTATTATTTACCAATGCATTAAAATTAAATTAATGCTTGGTTATTTCTTGGTTACTAATACTGAACTAACGTTATAAATCAATATTTTACAAATACCAACACATAGCAAAATTTTTTTTAAAAAAATATTAAATATACACACTGAAAAAAATCCCTAGGCGATTTGACTATGCTCCTAGTTACGAGAGTCATCCGCTAAGAATTTTAGTTACTTTAACTAGGAATCCTGGTTACTACAGCATTAAATTTGTCAATATAATCAAGATTCCTAGTTAAAGTAACCTTAATGCTATATAATGGATGCTCAAATCGTTTAGGCATTTTTTCAGTGTATTAATAAAATCAGACTTCTGTCTGTACATTGCTCCAAGCTTGAAAATTTTTATATATTTTTTCGTTTTGTGACATTAGAATTCAAAAAATGGAAAAAAAAATTTCTGTCTGTCTGGCTATCCTTCTGCCTATCTGTATGCAAAATTTTGTTCGCGCATTAATTGAAAACGGTTTAACCAATTAAAGTGAATCTTGACAGTCGATTAGGTATTAACGTAACTTAAAAGCATAGCCATATCCGATTAAAAAATATTAACTTGAATGAAAGTTAGGACATTTTTTCAAAAAATTCGAAAAATCAAAAAAATGGAAATTTTTTATTTTTTGTAAAATGGATGCAAAACTATCCTTAGCTAATTTTTTCAGATAAATACAACCCATTTCTACAATAAAATTTTGAAAAAGACGTATTTTGAAATTTTTTTTCGTTTTTTTTATAAACTTTTTTCTAAGAAAATATTGATTCTTGATTTTTAAGCAAGCTTTTCAGCAAAAGTTATTAAAGTTTTTTATTTAAAGACCAGTATGTAAAGTAAGAAATTTGCTACATTAGACAAAAATATTGTTTCAATATTCAATTTTTAAAATCAAGAAAGTTATGCACGAGTTAACAAAAAAATGTTCATATGAATTGAATGTATCACTGCTCCTCAAAGGGTTAAATATTAATTAATTCTTACATCAAGTTGGTGTTGATATTTTCTGATAAATTAATTAATTTGTATTTTTGGTAATTCTGACTCCAATTTTATCATAAAAAATCATCAAAAAAATTAGTTTAAATGTAATTGATTAAATACCAATCAATACTCAATATGGAAAACTATAAAAGTACTAAGAAACACGTCGAAGACGGGTATCGCAGTTAGTTACTAATATGGAGAAGGAAAAATAATAAATTTAATTTGAAAACTCTGTTAAAAACAGAATGTGATAAAAATCAGACAAAGATAATATTTGTTTAAGTTTGAGAATGCAAGCGTCTCTTCTTATATAGAACTGGTAAACTAACTTGTTAACGAGAGAAAGAAACTTTGGCGCACCCTGTGACACTCATCCTAAATAATTTTAAGCATATACTTTGAAGCAGCGCGGGACATTTGAAAAGCGAACACCAGGGTGCGCAAGAGTTTCATTTACTCACTAACCAGTTGCTTCACGGTTTTTGCCCACCCCGTGTGGAAAAGGAAAATTGGTCCTAGCATGGTCCTACATATTTTGCCCTGTTAATAGCTTGGACCTAAGTAGGCAGTGTAGTTTGGACCAACAATGGCTGGTGATGCGATTTTAGCCTGGTCCTAACTTGGGAGCCTAGTTAGGACCAGTTCATGGGTTCATTTTTGGACCTAGAAAGGACCATCTCAGATAGTATTTTCTATTTCATTATAATTTTAATTAGTTTATAATATTTGTTAAAGAAATAACCTAAATTATTAATAATAAGTATTAGTTTTAATTAATTATTATTTTTTTCAATTAAATGATGATCAAAAGCGAATTCATAAATAATGTTAGTATATGCAGAGATTAATATATATTCCTCTAATATATACATTAAAAATTATAAAAAAATTAGAAATTTGTTAATTAAATTATTTTACAGTATATATAATCTTTAAATTGCATACTTATACGAAGACAATGCAGAAAAATCGGAATAAACACAAACCTAAGAAGCAAATAAAATCTAACGCACGCGAGAATCGAACCTATGACCTACGGACTAATGTCCTAACCACTATGCTACGGAGCTTAACTGAACATCGACGTCTTATTGTCAGTGACTTGTTGACTTGCTTTTGATGATTCAATATAGTATTTATTGACACTAATACACCATAATAAATAAAAAAATAGTTCAACAACAATAATAATAAAATAATATTCAAATATAAAAATTCCAAAATTAATATTTATTTATATTATATCAAGAAAAAAATATCTATACATTTTCGGTAAAAACAGGTTTTTCATTGTTCTCAATCATTTTTAACATTAATTGGTTGGTCTAAAAAAAATATTCGTCTTTTGGACTTGGAAATTTTTGTTAATTAATTAAGTGGATGATCCACTTTTTAAAAAAATGTAAAAAAATTTATGTTAAAAAAACACGTTTTTCATTGTTCTAAATCATTTTAAACATTAATTTTTTGTTGCAAAAAATTTTTTAAATTTGGACTTAGAAATTTTTGCTAATGAAACTAGGAAGCCCAGGTAGGGCCTGGGTTGGACCTGGGTGGGTCAGCCCACATTTAAATTGCAATATCTTCTAGTGTTTAGAACCAACTTAAACGAAACTTCAAATCAGCGAACGAAATTAAAAATATATTCTACTAATGATAATTATATTGCAGTCTGTATCTGTTTAAATAAATAAATAAATGTTACTGTTTTATTAACTTTTGTGACAAATTACTTAGAAATTTGCAGTTTTTTTTCCAATTTCGCGATTATTACACTTGAGTAGTAAAATATGAAGATAATAATTTATAAATTTAACAATTCAGTTATTTCTTTAAACAAATAAATGTTGTTATTTATTAACTCTTGATACAAAGTACCTAGAAACTTGCAGTTTTTCCTAATTTTGCAATAAACTAATTTAAAAAGTATGAAATAGAGATATTTTATAATTTTAACAATTCAGCATTTATTTAAACAAAAAATTGTTGTTATTTATTAATTCTTGAGACAATAAAGCGTCGAGACACTTGTAGTCTTTTAAAATTTTGCAATTGACTAATCTGAGTATTTACTTGTTGCAAAATTAGAAAAAACTGCTAGTTTCTAGGTTGATTGTGTAAAAAGTTAGTAAATAACAATTATTTGTTTAAACAATTGCTGAATTAAAAAATTAATATATTAACTTTATTTTACAATATTTGTATAATTTTCTGATTTATGTCAAACAATAAATTGTTTAAACAAATATGATTATCAATTAATTTTATAAATATTAATTGAGAATATTTATCAATTTTTACATGTTTTTCATGTATCAATTTTGACACTTTATTTTCCT